CAAGCACACGCACCTGCTGCTGCCGTCGTCATGGGTCACCATGAAGATGAGGGACTTCGGGGCCGCACTCTGGATGAACTTTGTCATCGCTCCAGAATGATCTGTGGGTCAATGCAAACCAGTTTTAGGGTCTCCTCTGGTGGCGGGGCGCCTGCCTCCGCCTGCACCCTGCTCTCAGCCTCTCGTCCACGCGGCCTCCTGACGTGCGTCTCCCCGGGGTGGGCGAGGCAGGCTCCCCGAAACCTGGGTGGTGCCCACCACATAGGTGCCAGCCTTCAAGTGGGGAGCCGGCGGCACAGTGGGGCCCCTGTGATGACCCACAAAGTTTGGGGCCAGCTGAGGCCAGCGGCCCGGGGCCCCGGCGCACACCGTGGACAGAGGAACAGACACCCAGGCCACCAGGCCTGCTGTGCCGCGGTGAGAACACGGCCCGCCCCCACTTGCCACGGCCCCCTGTGGGCCCCAGGTGGCCCTGCTACGGGCTGGTGCCAGGAGTGGACAGGCAGGGGGCAGGTGTCCAGGGGTCCGGGAAGCCTCCCTGGCCTCCGGCATCAGAGCACGACGCAGGACAAAGTCAAGACGCCTCTTCTCTGCCGCCACTGGACCAGGGACTCAGGGACCAGCCCGGGGCGCCTCCCCAGGGACACCCGCCAGCGGAGCGCCCCTGGGGGCGCATGGGGAGTCTGGACACGCGCGGGAGCTCCTGGCATTTGGTCAGGAGACCGACAGAGAAGGGCTGTTCCTGGCGCTCGGGGGACAGTGCTCTTACCGCCTTCGTACATGTCGAAATGCTGAGTGGCCAGCACCTTCCCCGTCACGTCTGCAAGGAAGAGAGGCGCCTTCACTGGACAGCCCGAGGGACACGGCGGCGGGGGGCTCTGCTCCCCCTGCCCTCAGCCCCCTCCTTGGGGTCCTCCAGGTTCCCAGCCGGACCAGCCGCCAGGGAAGTGGCCTCAGGGTCCCTCGCCCCACACTGGGCGAGGCACTCAGCTCTCTGGGGGCAGAGGAAACCCAGCCCGCTCCCTGCCGTCCTTCCTGCTGGACGCCCTCAGGCAGCTTCCCGGAGGCCCCAGGGTCTCTGACCGGAGGCCAGCGCCCGTGGTGGCCCGGCGCCTGTCTGGCCTCACCCGCCCTCTGCCCCCCTTGCTCACTGATTCCTCGTGGGGACGGTGCTGGTGCAGACTGGGGGCTGTGTCCAAGCCTGTTTCTGATCGGCTTCGGGTTTCATATTTTAGGAACCACAAAGGTCCGGAGAGCGAGACTCCGGCAAGGAGTAACCCTGACTCGCTGCGTCCAGGAGCAGCCGGAACCCACACGCGGCACGGCACGCACAAGCACACGGCACACGGCACGCGCGGGCACGCGACACGCTCACACACCACAGCGCACACGCACCGCACACACAGCACACACCATGTACATGCATGTGCACACGCGCACACGGCAATACAGCACAGACACACAACACACCGTGAGTGCACATGACACGCGTGCACATGACACGCGTGCACATGACACGCGTGCACATGACACGCGTGCACATGACACGCGTGCACACGACACGCCCGCACATGACATGTGTGCACACGACACGCAATGCACACGACATGCACATGCACATGACACGCCTGCACACGACACGCCTGCACGCGACACGCCTGCACACGACACGCCTGCACGCGACACGCCTGCACACGACACACATGCACACGACACGCCCGCACATGACATACATGCACACGACACGCACATGCACACGACATGCACATGCACATGACACGCCTGCACACGACACGCCTGCACACGACACACATGCACACAACACGCGTGCACACAACATACGTGCACACCACACGCGTGTACACCACACGCGTGTACACCACACGCGTGCACACCACACGCCTGCACACGACACGCACATGCACATGTCATGCACATGCACTTGACACGCCTGCACGCGACACACATGCACGCAACATGTGTGCACACAACACATATGCACATGACACGCCTGCACACGACACGCGTGCACACGACACACGTGCACACGACACACGTGCACACGACACACGTGCACATGACACACGTGCACACGACATGCACATGCACATGCACATGCACAGCACTGAAGCATCTGCAAACCCAATGAGCATTTCGAGCAAAGTCCTAAAGAAAACCCGCAGGCACTTACAGTCGACAATGGCGATATTTATTCCTCTTCCAACATTTCTGGCCTTTTCTCCTATGAGCCTGGAAGGTAACCAGGCGTGAGTCCCGCCCCCCACCGAGCGTGAGCCCCGCCCCCCACCGACTGTGAGCCCCGCCTCCGGGCTGCCGCGGGGAGCCTCCGCTCCGAGCCCGCGGCACATGGCTGGGCGGGTCCCTCTGGCCCCGACTCCTTCGCCGCCGAGTAATTTTCTTTTTGAAAGATTTGCTTATTTATGCACACACGAAGTGGGGTACAGGC